TTTTTTTTTTTTTTTTTGGTAAGATTTTAAATTGATTTTTAGAGAAAGAGGAAGGGAGAGGGAGAGAGAAAGAAACATCTCTCTGCTGCCTCCTACATGCCCCCTACCAATCCTACCGAGGACTGAGCTCAAAACCCATCCCTGGCACCTGCCCAGAAGAAGAATCCAACTGGCAACCTTTCAGTGCATGGGGTGACACCCAAACAATTGAGCCACAGTGGCCAGGGCAAAAGTTGCCATTTTAAGGTATACACTTAAGAGGCATTTGAGTATCTTTATAATGTACAAACACCATCCAAGCAAGGAGTGGACTGGAAGGCTCCCAGAGCACCACCACTGCACCCCAGGCCACGAGAAGGGAGGGGAGCAGCCAGGATAAATCACATCCTGCTCCCTGCGTTACGGGCAGTGGGCCCTTGGGCAGGTCACACCACTGCTCAGGCCTTGGTTTCCCCTGGAGATGGGTGAGGGCCAAGGTTGGAGCCTAAGATGTGGTGGACCATCGCTAGCGGAGATGCTAGAAATCCTCATGCCCTTCCAGGAAGCAGAAGGCTTCCCAGGGCTGGGGATAGGGGGCAAGGCTGGGATCTTGGGGATGGACAGGGTCAGGGGAGACTTCCCTGGAATGTGACCTCCCAGCTGCACAGGACACGTTGAGAAAGGAGTGTGTTGCCCTGGCTGGTTTGGCTCAGTGGTTAGCACATCGGCCCACAGACTGAAGGGTCCTGGCTTCAGTTCTGGCCAAGGGCACCTATCTGGGTTGCAGGCTCCTTCCCCAACCCCAGTCTGGCCCATGCAGTGCAGGAGGCCACCAGTAGGTGTGTCTCTGTCACATCAGTGTCTCTCTCTCTCTCCCCCTTCCACTTTCTCTGAAAAGCAACAGGAAAAATATCCTCAGGTGAGAATTATAAAAAAGAGTGTTCCGAACCTGGGAGCAGCGGGGGCGAAGCCTGCAGGTGGGAAGGGGGGTTGCGAGGGCCCTCCAGGGTCTGAGGGCCTGGACCTTGGGTGTGCAGACAGCGACATGCCTCCCGGCCTGACCGGCCCTCTGCTGCCCTCAGGACATGGCGGCCGCCAAGCCCAGCCTGGGCCGGGTCCTCCCGGGGTCCACCATCCTCTTCCTGTGTGACCTGCAGGAGAAGTTCCGCCATGTCGCCTACTTCCCCCAGATTGTCTCCGTGGCCGCCCGCATGCTCCAGGTAAGGTCCCCCCTCCTGCAGGCCAGGGGTCCAGGCCCCTCCCTGGGTCTCAGGCCTTTGCCCCCTTTCTGGCACAGGTGGCCCGGCTGCTGGAGGTGCCAGCCGTGCTGACAGAGCAGTACCCACAGGGCCTGGGCCCCACGGTGCCTGAGCTGGGGGCTGAGGGCCTGAAGCCACTGCCCAAGACCTGCTTCAGCATGGTGCCCGTGGCGAGGCAGGAGCTGGACGCGCGGCCTCAGCTGCGCTCTGTGCTCCTCTGTGGCATCGAGACACAGGCCTGCATCCTGGTAAGACCCCCAGCTGACCCCTGGGAACCCCACTCTCACCTGGGATCTCCCCATCCTAGAAGGGACATCCTTTCCCCCACTCGGGACTCTGTCCTCCCAGCACAATACCCTTCCTGACCCATGACCTGCTTCTGAGCTGAGACTTGATTCTCACTCAGGATGGGGCACCCATCCTGCCCTAGGATCCCACTGTCACCTGGGGGCATCCTGCCCTGATCTGAGCCTCCCTCATCCCCATCGCAGCATCCCAGTCCCTCACCCAGGATCCCTGTTTTTGTCCGGGGTTGGCCCTGACCTCTCTCTGCCCCCAGAACACAACCCTGGACCTCCTGGATCGGGGGCTGCAGGTTCATGTGGTGGTGGATGCCTGCTCCTCCCGCAGGTAAGAGGGTCCTTCAACGGGTAGGTACACATGGGGTGTGGACAGGGCACCCAGGAAGAACCAGGGGCCGGGACTTCTGCCCAATCTGCCCAGGGTCTGGGTGTCGGGGCCACAGTGCCCATACCCCTTCCCCCCTGCAGCCAGGTGGACCGGCTGGTGGCACTAGCCCGGATGCGACAGAGCGGTGCCTTCCTCTCCACCAGTGAAGGACTCATTCTACAGCTTGTGGGTGACTCTGCGCACCCCCAGTTCAAGGAGGTACTGGTCCCCGATCCCCCACCTTCCATGCACCTGGCAAATGTCTTCTCAGCACCCACCACGTCCGGGAACAAATACATCCAGAAACACACACACATACATCCGGGAACACAGAAGGCTGCCGCCTCCAGAGGGGGCTAAGTTCTCCTGGGGAGACACCCCATCACCCATAAATCAATGAGAGGAGAAGCTGCTGGCGGGCAGTGAGGACTGGAGAGACACAGAGAGAGAGGAAGAGAGAGCCAGCGAGCAAGCAGGGAGGGGCTTGCACGGGGTGGTGTAGGAAGCCTGGGAGAAGGTGACTTTGGAGTGAAGTGAGGCCTAGAGGGAGCCAGGCAGACACAGGAAAGAACAGTCCAGTAGAAGCCCTGTAGATGGGGCCTTTAGACCCCTCCACCCCTCCCCTTCTCTGGTCTCTGTCAAGAAGGCCCAGCCTCCATGCCCCCCGCAAGTAGCTTTCCCAGTACCCAGGCCTGACCAGGTAGTTCACACTGCTGCAGACCCTTGGCCTGCAGGACTGCAGGCTGGGTGAGTGGGGAGGAGGGAAGGAGCCAGGCCGAGTCTTCCCAAAGACTTGGTGTTTTATCGAGGAGCACCCATGGGGACTTGTGCAGGGGAGCTGTAGTCGGGCTGGCGTCAAGAACAAGGGACACAAAAGTGGATGTAGTGGGGATGCAGGCTCTGCTTGGTTTTGTTTGCTTTCCGGAGGCAATTATGGGAGAAGGCGCCGGGAGAGGGGCTCCAGGTTGCCATGTACTGAAGGGCTGAACTGCGAGTTTGAGAGGTCAAGTGGCCACCCACATCTGCGGTGCAGTTGGATAAATGAGTCTGGAGTAGAGGGGCAAGGCCTGGGCTGGATTTGGGAGTTGGGAGAGCTGAGGTGACTTAAGAAGAATAAACTATGGACAAGAAGCCCTGAGACAGAGCCATCACTCTTAGTAGCCCAAGCAGCAAAAAAAGACAAAGGTGGCAGCTGATCAGGAGCTAATTCAGGTGGATATGGTGAAAGGAAGGTCCCAGGAAAAGTTTTGAGAAGAGGGAGTGGTTGGATTGGCCATTTGCCGCCAGGAGGGCAAGGGAGATGAAGAGGGGAGGTGTCCCTACGTGGGGACCCTGGACACTTCCTGACACCCTCCTCCCTCTACAGATCCAGAAGATCATCAAGGATCCCGCCCCGGACAGCGGGCTGCTCGGCCTCTTCCAAGGCCAGAACCCCCTCTTCCGCTGAACTCCCACTCTGCCTCATGGGGAGACCTCCCACCCTCCTGTCACCGGGGCCTCGGCGGAAGCGCTTCCCCCCCATCCTCGGATCCCAGGAGTGGTGCAGTCCACCGGGAGTGCCGCCCCTCGGGAGGGGAGGCGGGTGCTGCCTTGCCATTGGGCGACAGCTCCCGGAAATGCAAATGAAGCTCCTGGAAGCCGGGTGGCCGTTGGCTGAGCTGAGCTGGAGGCGGGGCTCGGCCCCGGGCCACTTCAAGAGGTGGAAAAGGGAGGGGGAGGGAGTGTCACAGACTGTGTGGGACCCGGGCTCGCAGAATAAACACCGATGTGGCTGTGGACCGAACCATTCTTGGATTTGGGGGGTATCCCGAGGGCGACTGGGGGCT